ATAATAAAATAATAATAATAAAAAACATTTTACACCATGTCCTATATCTTGCTAATATTTTCAGAATATGGCCTTGATTGTAAAACAAAAGCAAGCATTTACAATTTCTGGATAAAGACTGCTTACTCTTACGCAAGGAATGGATGTTTTGTCTTGACAAAATCTTTGTAGTAACTGGACAGAAACATCTCTGTTTCAATATCAGATTGAGTACAAAACGCTGGGGAAACGACAATTTTTCTTATTGGTGGTTGGAAACTGAAGTTATATAAGCAGAACAAATGTTGACCCTTAATGATACACCTATTTTTTTCTTTGATGCAAACAGCTAGAACACCTTTTTGATATTCTAAAACAAAAAAATTGTTAATCTTCAGATTAATAAATTAGGTCATTATAATAATAAATTAGGGTTTTTTTTTTTTCAGTTTTAAAGTTCAGCAACCTCTGACCAAGTATTTACAACAATACTTGAGAGTTCCTTTACAAAAAAATACATTTTCTTTTCACATTAAGCATACTGGGTATCTGTGTCTCTTATGACAAGCATTTGTAAAAGAAAAAAGGCAATGCACAAATGGGTAATTAGTATAAAAGTGCCAAGACCTGTTTGGAAAGTTAACATTGTATTATACAGTCAGAGTTATAAATGAGGCAAGCTACAACAAACTTCCAGCTTAATGTGGACAATATTCCAGTAGTTGTTTCAAACAATTGTTTGAAAAAAAAAAAAGAAAAAAAAGAAAGAAAAAAAAAAGAAAATCCAGGAGCCGATGGTGTTATTCTATGGAGCTGATTAGTGCTGCATGTATATTGTCATCAGTGTCTCTAGCCAATGCATTCATTAAAAAGCCTTTTTAAGGCTAAGCAGGAAAAGAAAAATAAGAAACACCCTGAAATGTAGCAAGTAGCAAGAGCAACGCTTACTGCTATAATCGTGCACGTACTGTACACACGCAAACACAAGAGTGCACACACACACACGCGCGCACGCAAACAAACACTTTCAAATCAAATCAAACTGTAGGTAGAATGAGATGCTCTTTTCTTGTCTTTCTAAACTCACAAGCGATTAAGCATTGATATGGAATGCCTGTTTATCTGTTTCTGCTCTGGGTAAAATCTCTCTCAGATAAAAATACATTCAACAAGAAAAAAAATAGAAAAAATATATACTGTATACATAGTATTTTATATATACAGTATATATATGTATAGTGTATATACACATGCACGTATATATACATATGTATAACTACATGCATTTGTATATACATATATATACACAAACATACAAATACTTTTTGTTGTTTTTAGCATAATTATATTTACATAAATATTCCTATAATGCTAAAGTTTAAAGAAGCATGATCTCCTTTTTTTTCTGAGCTTCAAAAAAGGTGCTTGAGTAATATACAATTAAAATTAAGCAGCTTCCTAGCATGGAAGTAGTTTCTAAATCTGCATACCAGTAAATAAGAACATCAACAAGAAAAAAACAACCTTAAAACAGTCTCTTTTTTACTCTCTTGTAAGCAAGAGCTTTGTCCAACAAAAATATTTTTCCTTCTCCTGTATGAACAACCAGAGATTGATATAAAATAATAAAACAAAACCACAACAGACAAAACAAACAAACAAAAGCCCCTGGAACTACATGGTGTTCTTGACTTTTCCTTCCGTCCTTCAATACTGCTGTCAAAAGATCCAGTGCTCATATCAGGAATTACTTAGGCCTCAGTCATTTGCTAACTCTGCCAAAGTCTGGCTAATCTAGCCATTCAGCTTTGAAGAAAACAAAAATAAAACCAAAAAGCAGCACAAGGTATAATTTTATACATCCTTAATAAACCCACCCTTTATTTTCTGCTATAACCTTTTCCTTGCTATTTCATTAACTACTGCAGCTTCTCATCATATAGAAAAATATTTGCAGCTACACCACACCTGTGATGTGACAAATTCTGTTCTAGGAGTATATTACTGTAGCAACAGCTGGAAAAAAAAAAATCAGACCTTTTTGTATTTTTTTTCACCTGGGGTTAGGCTTTGCTGCAACAGATGCAATTTCAGAGCAACAAGAAAAAACACTATCCTGCTGCTCAGCAGTATTCTTTACTCATTTTCTTCTCCAGCCAAGCATGACCAGCTTTTCTTCTCTGAAGCTTCCTTTTACCTCATTGCCTACCCCTAGCCCCTGATTCCCCCTCCCAAAATAACCTCTATAGCTATGTTACAAGCAAATACATCTTAACAAGTTTTAAAACTTTGGTTCTAAGAAAACACTTGGTCAGTTATCTCAAGGAAAAGTGGGAATGCTTTTTCTGGCACATTGCAGGAGTCAGAGCTCATCCCAGTAAGGTCTTAGAGCTGTACATGTAGTCACAAATCCAATACAATCCACTAAGCAAGTGCACAATTCTAGTTTTATTTTAATAGCAGACTTAGTCTCTCTCTCTCTCTTTCTTAAATCCTTGGTAAGGGTGCAATTCTTCAAACCGTTTGATAGAAATTATCTGCCTGTAGGTTGTTCTGTTTCTGCATGCTGTAAAATCCACTGTATCTTGAATCTGGGTCTGCAATTCTTAGCATCCTCTGAGAACTGTCCACCTGGACCATGGTACCTTTCTTGCAGTCTACATATACCAGTTGGTTGTTTAGGCAAGAAGGCTGTTAAGACAAAAAGGGAATATTGAATTGGTTAAAAAAAGTTTGTATTCCAACCATAATTAAAAAATTTATGGTTCAAGTCCATAAGCACAAAAAACCAAAATAAAATCAGCCATGAAAGAGTCTGGACTTTTGCTAAACTTGGTAAAGGCCTATGGCAGGCACACTAACAGACCAACACCCTCTTTTGAAGCACCATTGTTCATCTTCTGAATGGAGCTCTGGCATTCCCAGAGTCTTCCCAGTCCTAGCACTCCTCTGTTTGAGAACCCTTCAGCTGAAAGATTCTGCAGCTGAGAGGAAATTGAAACAATGCTGGGTGTACACTACCTGAAATGTTTACGGGCTAAGCATGAAGGAGGACAGGCAGTAAATGAACTCTATGGATACACATGAAATGTACACACATGACAATGCTCACACTATAAGCATGCTACAAATCTTAAAAATTCCAGTTTCGACTGGTGTAGCTTCTTTTTCCAAGACTTAAATCAGAAGGGTTTTTATTAATAAAAATTTACATCTAGTAACCCTTATCACAAAAAGTTTTTTGTTTTTTTGTTAAGCAGAAATTTCTACAAAACAGTATTGTAAAATGTTTTACATTTGGCTCTTCAGAAGTCTGGATTCACAAAGAAGTCCTGAGGTTCACTGATGTTAACAGAATCAGGGCTAAACATTAGAAGTCCACCTGTAATTTTAAATGTCTTTTCTATAATCTTTCTTTTGGTATTGATCTGATTTAAGTACAGTTGTTGATTTGTTCTTTACTGAATAGCTGGACTATTTTGAAGAGAAGGAACGTAAGCCAAAACAGGCCTGCCAAAATTTATTACTAGGAATCATCAGTCACCCAGCAAGGAATAGGAGAAACTGAGTGACACCTAGCTGAAAATAACTGAAAAGAAAACATTTATGACAAAGACCCTCACAACAAATCTTGAGTTCAGCATATCCATGGTCTTGCATTGTATCTGTTTGTGGCTTAAAGTGGCTTCTTAGCATATGGATGATTCCTTTTGCAGTTGAAAAAATGTTTCAGCAATCAAAGTGTTTGAGGAAAATGAAGTTTCGTAAGTAAAAAAGTATGTAGAATTATTGATTATAGTTCCACAGTTAGAAAGTTGTGATTTTCACTTCAGCTTCAACTATTTTGTCACACAGCAGCCTTTCTGAGAGTTTAGGAGTGAATACATTAGAGTTAAACCCAAATTTTTAAATGCATTCCTTAAGAAATTCAGAAACTGGTATCGTTACTTGTCTTGAAAGACTAGAAGTGGAGTAACAATGATGCTTCGTGGTTTCTATTTAATTACGATTGAATTCAACTTTATGTTCTGGCTATATTTGTAAACTTTTTGGAATAGACTTGTTTTTTAAAAAAAAACCTCTGCAGCAGCCTCAGAAAGAATACAGACACTTCATGAGTGAAAGAGGGTAGATTTAGATTACATATTAGGAAGAAATTCTTCCCTGTGAGGGTGGTGAGGCACTGGAACAGGTTGCCCAGAGAAGCTGTGGATGCCCCATCCCTGGAAGTGTTCAAGGTCAGGCTGGATAGGGCTTTGGGCAACCTGGTCTGGTGGAGGGTGTCCCTGCCCATGGCAGGGAGGGTGGAACTAGATGATCTTTAAAGGTCCCTTCCAACCCAAACCATTCTGTGATTCTATTGATTTTTAGAGTTTCTGTATTACTCGTCTAGGTGGAACTGAAGAAAAGATGCTCTCAAATTGTGTTCCAAGTATGGACAAAGTCTGTTTGATTAGATCTAGGAAATATAAGTGGGATAAATTGGGGAACTGATACAAATGGCATTTGAATATGGAGTAAAGGCTTAGTCTGCTGATGGGACTATTACTCAAAACAAAACAATGAACACTATTCATTTCCAAGCTACCTGCTTCCTCCTTTTTTTGAAAGTCTCAGAATATTTAATAGGTAGATATTTCCTGAGATCTCTCTTAAAATATTAATCCCAGAACCATATGATCCTGTTATTAGAAAATGTGATAAACACTACTAGTACATACAGTACCTGATGTTAGACAATACTTTTATGTGGATGAAAGTTAAGAAAGCAAAAAAAATTCTCTTATGAGTTTGACTGCAGATAAGAAAATTGCATGTATTCACCTACACATATAGAGAGAGTTGGGTATTTTTTTGCTGAGCTTGATTTCTATCTAGTGAGAACTCATTACTATATGGAGCAGGAAATGTTTTTGTTTGATAGTGAAAAAAATCATTTAGGAGACTAAATAAATACCAACAGTCTGACTGGTATAAAATGGTTTAAGACAAAGAGAAAATAATTTAAGAGAGTTCAGATGATGTGAACTCAAGTACATCCTATACAATATTCTAGTTAATCTTGTTTTCCAAAAAAGCAAAAGCCTGGAAAGGGACATAAACATGGCACCTTTGTTGGAGCTTTGTAGCAGGACACTGGAATCCACTGCTTTTTCTGATTGACAAGCAGAAAGATGAAGATCAGTATCAGCGCTATCGTGATTGGAATTGTCACCAAGGCAACAGAGCTAACCGATGCATCTTCACTTGGGTGTGGTCCACTGCCACTTCTGTACTCTCCCTGGAGATGACTCATGTCTGCAAGGCAAATGTGAGCAGTTAGTAATCATGCATGGGCCTTCACCATAAAGAAGAATGTAATTATGAAAGTCACAGTCGTGGATCTTGTCACTCACATGAATTTAGACTTTCTCTCCTGAAATGCCACGTTATTCATACAAATTAGAACTGAAATGTAGTATCTTATATAGTGACTATATTAGCTGGGAAAAGGCCATTAAAAAGAGAGTAGATAGAATGGACTCTAAAGCACAGTAATAACCTCTTAGCTCAGTTGCATTCGCATCACCTTATCTGACCACAATCAAATTCCCACTTGTAAAAAAAAAATAAAAAACAATCAGCCCGTGTTTCAATGCTGAGGAAAACCTGGAAGTCTTAGGATGAAAGCCCTTTTTCTTTAAAAAAAAAACCGCACAAAAAAACCCAAACAAAAAACAACACAAAAAACCTGGTAAGACAATTCTTATGTGTATGCTCTCTCACTTGTTGGGAAAATACTATAACATTTGCACCAGTCAGCCTGTGAAAACAGGCTGCTGGCAGTCTACTATACTGTAGCAAGTTTTGCACATAATTGCAAAGACTGGTAATTTTCAATGACATATACAACATTCCCACACAGTTTGCAGTGTGCGTTTATAATCCCCACCCAGGATAGTTGCAAGCCAGCTACTAATGGCTGTGAGGAATGAAAATGCTGTAATTATAAAAGTCTAAAGCTTACAATTTTCTATAGCAGTTACATTTCATGTATCCTTTCTCCTAGCCACCAAACAATAGTATGCTATGAGATCATCCTTGGATTTAGAAAAAAAAAAAAAAGATATATACAAGTTTATGTAGTCCTTCAATTAGAAAAGGTTAACAAAGACTTTGTCATAGAGTGTTTCCCCTGTCCCAGAATAATGATTTCAGCACAGTTTTAAACAAAAGATGGATTTACATCCTTGGACAACTTTATTATCCCTGTGTCATTATACCTGTGAAGTGTTTTTTTTTTTTGTCTGGCATTTATCTATGACATATGTGAACCTGTGGTACACATTTTCCTGTTTTTGTTTATAAGAATGCCAGATGGTTCAAATGAAGGTTTATTGCCTCCGGTGGCCTGACAACAGCCTGCTTTTTAGTGTTTGTATCAGAAAAGATACTGCAGAATCATTCCTCATTCATCATTTTATTGCATTCTTAATTTTATAGAACTCCATCATACCAACACAGATGTTTCTTCCAAGCTGAAGATGGAATGATAATGCGACCAAATTGCATAAATATAATTGAATAGACTGATTCATCTTTACTCAAAGCAAAATGCACGCAAGAGTTCTGCACTGAAGAATATTCTCAGATAACCACCTTGTCAAAGCATTACACAGATGCTACTCGAGTAGAGCAAGTAGATGCACTAAAACATGGCGAATAGACATAGACCTAAATTAGCCCAGTTTATATCAGATCTTACCTCCATGCATGTGGCTGATGTCATTTTCACTTGGTGTTGGCCGGTTTGGTACTTCTAGTTCAATGTCTCGATGATTTGTCTTCTCAATAGGGATATTGGTAGGTTCAGGTACATACATCTCTGTGAAATAAGATAAATGCGTTTCACAAATTACAGGCTGCTTAACTTCCCAGTGCTGCTCTTAATTCAGAAAAATATACTTGGCCATCTGCAGTGCTTTGTCTTATGAATCCTTTCATTTGTTCCAGAATTTTCACCATTTCAGAATACATGCTTTACTACAGCCTTGCTCCTTTGTGATACTAAACAAAAATACCAAGGGAAGGCTACATCTTCCCAGCTGATATGTAAACTGTCACTGCTGCTTTGCCTTCCTTTTTTTGTAATCCTCAAAGTAGGAGAGCTGCAAGAGGGGCTACTGCTGAATCTCCCCAGTTGTCCTGTAGTTACCGGCTGACTAAGATGAGCGAACTCTTGTAGAAGTCTGTCAGGACTAGCATTAAAAACCAGCTGCAATTCTTATGTCCCTGATGTCCATAGCTAAGAAAATTTCATATTAGTTTTAAGTCAAGCTAAAATGATAAATAAAGCAATGCAACAGTTGAAAAGTAATGAAGAGGCTTGGAAAAGATGGAAATGTTAATCACTGGCAGAATCTGCAGAGATGGGAGAATATGCATTGTCCTACTTCACTAATGTATTTCCATAACCTTGTGAAAGGACAGAGCAGGGACAAGGAACTAATTTTTGAGTTCACAATTCTCAGAATAAGTAAAATTCAAACTATATATTTGCACAATATGCCTATCTGTTAAGAATATTAATTTTCCTGAAGTCTAACTGTCTCTTGTCTTGATACTGTTCAAACATGGACTGACATTCAAAAACCAATTAAAACCCCTTTATTATCAGTGCTGGAAAACCAGCATTCCAATAATCTGGGCTGTCACGTCACATTACCTGGACACATGGGACAGCAGCTTCCCTCCACGTTGATGGGTTCAGCACAGGGGAGGGGTGGGCAGCTGACAGTGGAACAGAGAGTCTGACCCTGCAGGCAGTAGCAGTGTGTGCAGCTGTCAATGTCCCAGCGTTCCTCATCCGAGTAGGTTTTGCCATTGAAGTGGCAGACCACTTTCTTTGGAACTGTGTCTTCTGTGGAAGGAAAACAAAGCGGTGTGATCATGCGGTAATGGCCAATTACACACAAATAGCATTTCTTCTCCAAACACAAAACCGAAACAATAGCTACAAAGAAATCCCAGCTGTAATTAAAAGACCCTCTCCACATCTTCTGGAAAATCTTTGTTAAAAAAGTGTCATTTCTGCTTCTTCATGAAGTACATAATTAGCCTGGGCTGCTTCTCATCATCTTCCTCATGCAAGAGGCTAGAGAATGGATGATTGGGACATAAAATGATTATATCAGAAGTGCTGTAAAAATTAAGAAAAAATGGATTTTTTTTATGTTTGACTGTTTGAGACTGCCAACTCCTCCTCCTCGTCTCCTAGTAAACCCTGTTTAACTAAGAAAAAAACCAGACTACCTACAGTTCTAATTACCAAGGTTCAAGAAAGATGAACTCAGTCTGGAATACTTGAAGAAAAGATTAGGCTGGATGCTGAGAAGGATGAAGCAACTCTCAGGTGACATAACTAGAAGTGCTTAGACTATTTATTATGATAAAACAGATTCAAAGAGGATCTGGTAATTCCCTGTAGCTGCATCAATACAAAACCCCAGGAAAAAGGCAATAACCAAACTCAGCACATTTTTTCATGGTTAGTATTACATAAATTGGAAATTGGTGTGATCTTAGCCCTCAGAAAAAACTGAGGTTCCAGAACACCTTTCCCAAAGAGCAAGAGCTGTAAAACTAACAACTTTTCAGATAGATTTTGACACAGTACGTAATAGGGACCTGGACTTGATGAAGCAAGTACATCTTGGGAAAACATGTAAAAGAAGCATTACACTTTCTGCCTAAGAGTCAATACAGCATTTTTTTAATGCTGCATCCTATGCAAGACTTTTTGGTGATCTGCAGTATACCTTCTATTCCACTGAGAAGACAGTCATGAATTGCTTAGCCTAGGATGTTTTTTGCTGCTGCAGAACTTTATAGATAATCAAAATAAAACTACACAGCAGAACCTCCAAAAGCCAAGCAGCACCTCATTTTCATCTTCACTTCCTGCTACCTTTTTTTCTTAGAGGCAGAAATTATTATGATGAAATCTGCTAATGATGTGAATTTCCAGATTAAGCATATGCATGAGATAACAGAATGAAATCATAAAGTAACTTCTTAAGCTGTCAGAGAAATACTGGTTTAACATTCACAGAGATTACATATGTAAATATGTCAGTTAGAATTACCTCCCAAATATAAATAAAAATCCTTATTAAATAATTTGGCCATCATTACAGCTTTTAATTAGTGACAACATAACAGACTGACATCATACAGAATAACAAGGTTAGCAGTCAGCAGACCAGCACAACAGATCTGGACAGAGTAAATTTGAATGCAAAAGGAGACCAGCAAGAAGTACTGTTGTGAAAATACTAAAGGAATTATCTGAAGAGTGTAAACGTTCCAGAGGGCCTTGGTATGGGTATCCCATGGCTTCCACGGCTGTCAGCACAGGTCCCAACCTCTCCAAGTAGAGGCTTTTGTAAGTGAATATGGGGTGGACATGGGAAAGGAAGAGTGGGAGGAAAAGGTGTCTGCAAGCTGCAAAAAAGCACCTCAGGTTCTTCCATAGATGACTTGCATGTTGTCATATAAAGCCAGCGGAGCCCTGTGTTGGGTAGAGAGCAGATATGGCTGGGGAGAGGGTGAGACACACAGCCTGAGCGGTCCTCTATTCTCATTACCTTTGCTCGCAGAAGTGCCCCACTCAGGACAGCTTCTTCAACTCAGCAGCTGGTTTGGCTGGAAAAGTCCTTTAACTTGCTCAAGCTTTTGCAAGTTTGTAAAGAACACATCACGGTTTAATACTGTGAATGTATTTTAGAAGAATGAACAAGGATAAAATCACAATAGCAGTGTTGAACCTTTGAACCTCCAGAGGAAACTTCTAAGTCCTAAGAAAGTATTATCCTCTGTGTGTGTCTTGTTTTGGTGTGCATCTCTGTGCAAGCGTAACCACAGGATGAAGGCCACAACACCAAGTGCTCAAGGACAGTAGAAACAAAAGAGACTTGCAGTAAGAAACCCACATACAAACACGCAGCTCAGAATACCATGCCTAGCTCTACATGTCTTCTCTCAAATTTCCTCTAGCTGCACCAGTAAATCAGTCTCATCTGGTAAACAAACAGTCATTGCTCTGTTTTCCACAGAAGACTAATCTTGTCTCTGATCAAATAGATACCCATTTATCCTCTCTAGAGTAGAAGGTTATCCCTCCAAATTAATCTTTCTTTGCTTGAGAAAGAAGAATGTTGAACACACAGGATGAATGTGAGGATTCAGACAAACAACAAAGCATCCAAGGTCTGTAAAATTTTCAGTTTGAATCTATAACAACTTATTAGGCATTAGCCAGATCTGGATCCAGAAAGAAGCAGAATAAAATACAGTGCTAAAACCCTGCATAATTTTTGAAATTCCAATAAATGAAGAAGGCCTGTTTCCACAGAGTTTGCCTACTATAACATTTTATCAACTATGACATGAAAATAGTAAGGAAGAATCTGTACAAAGATGTGTTTCACAGTTCTCAAGAAATGAAGAGTAAAACAGTAAACCAGGAAGACAAAAATTAAATGCATGACCTTACTCGTCTTACAGGCAAGAGTATATAGTTCATAGAAACCATTAAAAAAGTAAGTTTCCATGAATTTCAGTTATTTAGACCACAAAACATACTGACAACATAGAACAGCTTAGATTAATAAAATGTACATTCATTGAAAGGCTTCATATCTGAGCGCTAATTAAAATCTGGCTTCTGTATTTCGTATTGCTGAGCAGTTGCTATAAAAAAACATTAGGTTTTTATAGCTCACGCATTTAAATATTTGCAATATTGTGCATCTATATGGGATTCAAAGTGAATTAATTAAAACTCTATCTATATGTTGTGTGTATATATTTGCAAACCTGACGTGCAAGGTGTAGGCACAAAGTTCTAGACGTTTTATTTTTGTAGCTCATGGCCCAAGTCCCTGTGGTGCATCCTTTCCTTGACCTAAAGAATTCTTCAGTACAGTACTAAGGCTCATGTTCTGACTCTTTTGGTTTGATTGTCCAAATTTGCACACACTTTGTTTAATGTTAAAATGTATACCGGATTAAAATGATCTTTATGGTTGCAAAGTCAATCACTGGAAGAAAAGCCTGCAGACAGTTATCAAAGACACTTTAAATCCTCCCCATTTTGTATGCAAACCATGATGAGAAAGTAGTAATGGGATAACATAGTACTTCCCCTTCAAAATGTCCTCATCAGGTATCTAAGTAGAGTTCCAAGGGCAACTGAAATTTTGATACTTTCTAACTTTTCCAGGCATTTCTTTGATGGAATTCCTTGCATATCCTATAAAACTGTCTCACCTATTATTAAAGATATTTTTTCTACAACGCATTAAAGAGTTCAAGAACTATATCAATGACATATATCTGAAAGGACTTCACAACCTGACATCTTTCTGATGAAGAACTGTATTGTTTATAACTGAGCAAGTTGATTTACATCTTCAATTAACAATTATTTTATTATATTCCTTTTTACTGAATTCTTTTCTACTGTATCTCCCCCTACTACTTTTGGATGTGAAGGTTATAGTAAGCTCTGAATGCTTTCCAACAATGCTACGAAGACTTAATTTCAGTAAGCTCATCATACAATCCTTCTCTATCAGCAGTTTCTATTCTACAGCCTTTGTACTTACTGCAAACTCACAAAGTCATCTGTAAATAAATACTCCAAAATACAATGAAAAAGTGATCAGGAATCTCAAATTCTGCAACTTTAAAAATGCCTGGCAATTTTCACTACCTACAGCATCTACCATTTACTTCAACTGCAACTTCAAAACCAGTGCATGGCCCTTAATTCTTCCCTAATTTTTTCTCAAATATATTATTTTGCCCCTTCTACAACAACCTTTAATGAACTTTCTTTTTTTTCCTGTATTTTAATTTAGTTGCCTTATTAACACTTCTCCATTCTGTGAAATTTCATAATGCTTCGGCATTATCGTCTGCAGTCATAATTAATATTTTCCTCATATTATCACATAACTTGACATAAAGTATGTGTAACCTGGCAGATCTTCCTTTAAATAAAATGATTTTTTGTGTAATGCTTTCATCTAGTAAAGGTATATTACCAAGTTTTCAGGAAGATGTCCTCCCAAGTTTGTAGGCAAATTACATTTATATCTTTCTGCACTTCCACCTCAAAACCAGAAATCATGATCCTCAAATCTCCCTAAGCAGATTTCACTCTCCAGTTCAACTGAAGGCACAAACTGCATCTCCCCAAAACAGGGAAAACATATTTCAATTTGGAAATAAAACTTCTTTCTTATTCCCAAAAAGGGAACAGCAAGTTATCAACTATTTTTATTTGCTCACCAATACAGTAAGGACAACATTGTCCCTTTCTCAAAACAGGTCTCTCGCAGGATACTGGTGGGCAAGACTCGGAGTAGCATCTAATCACACCATCCATGCAAATGCAGCTAGTGCAGACATTGGGCTTCCAGGACTCAGCTGTCAGAAAAATATCTCCTTCATCGTTTTTGCAGTAACTGGGCATGCTCTCATTGCTTGATGACGATGGCTGAAGAGGCTCATCTGTAAATATAAACAGATTAAGTTATTTAACTTGCAGTAGCTAACTTCTCTCACGTTACCTCAATGGAAAACAATGGAATTGTAACACATTGGCTCACTACTTCAGAAGAAGTAGAAGGCCAGAGCCTTATGCCTCTTCAGTTCTTATATGCGATGAGGATCTCACGATGTGCTCTAGAATAAAGTCTACATAGACCTTTACTGAGTTTAATTAAAAAAAAAAAAAAGAAAGAAGAAAAAAGGACAGGACAGCAAGGTGAAAAACAATCACCCTCAGAAAGCCACTCTGAATGCTCTAAACTGAATAGTATTATAGGAATTCACCTTAAATTAGATTAAATTTTAAATCTGAAACTTGAATCCCAGCTTCTGCCATGTCAGTTCCAATCCTTGAATGATGCAAAGTGAAAAGCTATTATGCTGCTGTCCCTTCGCTAGTGGACTTACATGAGCTAATTATAAACTAGCGAGAAACAAATGGAACTTGATTTGCCTTCAGCTTGATGCCAACGGGTCTGCTTTAATTCTCATGTCCACACATGGGGGAGACATATTTCTGCAATGAAGCTGTATCTTAACAGACATTATGGATCAAGAAATAAGACTGTATGTGCAGAAAACATATAAGAAAAGGAGAAGAAAAAAAAAAAAAGGATTCATAAGGGCACTCAGATCAGGTTCTCAATCTGAGTAAGTTATGAGACTAAGCTCCATATACAGCTAGTGAAGAAAGATCAGCTCCTCCAAGCGGTATTTTGAAGTTAAGCAAATGTTCACTGTTATTAATAATGAGAAAAATGGAACTCAGGAGAACTGGCTAACTTTTTTACTGAAACTATTTTGTCAGAAAAAACCCCCGAAACCCCAAAACCCAACAAACATCCTGTAGAAGAAATCACCAAACCTAACATTTTGCTTTTCCTAAAGTAAAATTTTTAGATTTTGTTTTTAATAAAGACAAATATTTTCTCAGTGAGTTTACATACAATTCACAGGTTTGGACTAAATTTCCACTGCAATAAACTCCCCCATTTGCTATGTAAAACAGGAATTCATGTTGATTTCTAATTGTACCTCCTTCCTCGGGGGAAAGCAAATCCTGTTACCTTCTTGACACTGTGAGGCAGTCAAGGAGGAATCTGGCACACTTGCTGGGCTGGAATGCTTTGATATTACTAGATTGCCTTCAAGTCACTCTCAAATCATACCAGGTGAAGGTAAAAGCAAACAGAAGTATTTTTGTGACCAAATCCCAAGTGGACAAGATAGTAATAAAAAGGTTCATAGAAACCAAGGCATGTAGAAAGGAAAAGAGACAAGCCTGTATCTGCCTTGCACTTTGACTGCTGTTGAAGTTTCTCTAATCCTGCATGCTTCCATAAACGAGCCAGTGCATATTTCATAAACCTTCCTTCCAACTAAGGATTCTGGTTCTCATGCATTCCTTACGTTGTTAAGATTGCCTTCAAAGATGTTCAAACTTCAGGGCCACAACTCCTCTTTACATACAAGATACCTCTTGCACACAGCCAAGTTTTGCAGCTGAAATAGAGGACTACAGGCTCTTACTCCAAACTGCGGAAGAACAAAGGCGCCACAACAACCAACTGTGCACATACTGAAACGTTCAATATTCAAATCATACATTCTCAGATCAAGAAAAGACTCCGATGAAATGTGGTTGTCAATATATACCTGGGCACTGTGGACAGCAGGAGTCCTGTGTGCGGGTGGGGTTTTGACAAAGAAGAGGGGGACAGACTTCAGTCTCACACAGGACACGTCCGCTGTGGCATGTACATTGTGTGCAAGAATCAATATTCCATGTCTCTCCTTCTACAAAGTATTCCCCACCAGGAGCATGACAGATCGATGGACTGGTGAGCTCTGGCTTCTGCACAATTATTTCATCTGGGAAAAACAGAATTGGAAGACAGGCAAAATCAGCTGTGACTCTAATAATTAGCAAATGTAGCCAACATTAATAATTTCTGTTATTATTGAAAATATTAGGAATAGCAAAATCAGCTACAAATATACTCTTAATGAAGCTCTTTCAATTTTATTATGTCACTTTTGACTTTACGTCACCTGCATCTCACGGAAAATGGGAAAAATACAAACAAGAAACAATTTGAGAATCAGTCCGAATAAATGCTAGTTAATATAAATCAGAGATAACGTCAAACATTCTTGGCATTTCAGAAGAAATTCAAACCGATCTGTGATGTAGGAATTCCAAGGGACAATTGTCATTTTCTGAAAAATTATACTGATCGGACAGTTTCTTAACTGCTAAGTATTAGTATCAGTGCAATTCCTGAAAGGATGGATAAGTATGCTTCTTGTCTGGGATTCAGGAAGCCCAAATTCAACTATCTGCCTTTAAGTTTCCTGAGTGATACATGTCTGCACTATTTGGTGCCAGATTAAAAAACAAAACAAAACCACAACCCTCCTCCCCAACCCCTAAAAACATACAAACACTTAACACTGGTGGAAGTGCTTCATCACTTTGTTCCATTAATAAACAAACAAATAAATAAAAGTATCTGCAGTTTTTAAAGTAAAAACTGCACCAAGGAGATGCCACAGTGTGTAGACTCATGTTTCCAGTGACGGTATCTCACCGAATGAACCTTAATTTCTTTTCACACAATTAATTACATTACCTCTACAGCTCTGGTTAATAGACTAACCCAGCTGCTAACCCAGGCAGTTTACAGAATCGATTTGACCTCCTTCAAGTTAAGGAAGGATCTGAAACTGTTTCCCTTGTTCAGCATGAGTATCCTCCAAACACTGGGGTATTAAAAAACAGGGGAACTCTTTACCTCTTGGTGTTTGAAAAGAAAAAAGAAACCTATCCTGCACTTTGAAAGTGTTTAAGCACCTACCATCGAGAAAAGGTTATGCCATGAACTGCACCCCCACAGCCTGCTTACAATGCTTTGAAGCCCAGCCCCACGTAAGGGGCAATAATAGTTGCCAGCTCGCTGTGCCGGTTGCTTTGGACCTGGAGCGAGTCCAGCAGCTTTTTCCTTGCACCGTGTACAGGAATTGAGATGCCTCACACAGCATGTTTTATTGAACTACAGAAGCCATGAGTTTGAAAGCTACGTGCTGCAACATGAAGCTTCAGGCTCATAAGTGATGCTGTCCTTCAGCCTGAATTCAACCCATCTAACATTAGATAATGAAGTTAAGTGCCTACATCAAGAACTGAGCTACTTCAGGTTTCCTGAGCTATGAATGGAGAGGAAGAGAAAGTGACTTCCAGGTAATGACTCTGTATCTCTAAACCACTTTCTGAAGGTCGGTCTCACCCACTTAATTATAAAGATGCCTAATGTGAACATCATCCTAATGCAGGTATCTTGGTTAAGGACAGAAACGTTAAATGGACAGCAGCTCCTCCAGCCATTTAGGCAGCCCAAAGCTCAAAGTGCATGTGCTTCACTCCACATTCGTAGCACTGCTGTACTTGCCTGGAGAACGGCGTTTGTGCCCTTTGCTCTACGGCACTGTCACATAGAATTAACTCAATTATTTGTTTTCATTTCTGGAGAATGATCGGTAGAACTCAAGGAACCTGACTCTGGCTGATCTCACTTTATGCACAAAGTACTCGTGCATTTCTTCTTTCAAGGAATTATTTTATCTTTCACTGATTTGCTTATGCTATGCTTTTCCTATTGCTTACGTTTATGAACCACATCTGTGATTAAGTAGCATTTACCTGAAGTGAGATAGCTGGTCTGCTGCCTTGTCACTGTCTGTTTTTTATTTCAGATGGAACAATATATTACATTTTATGCAATGACATCCTAACTAACCATGGCAAAGGCAATACGAATTATTTTCTGGCAATTTTCTCAGTCGCCTCCTTTGCATTTGGTTCTCTGCAAAGTCACAGGCCTGTTTTACTACTGCTCATATACTGTTTATAATCAGACAAGCATAACCAGATAGTACTGCTGTACACGTGGTATTGCTTACTGCTCCCTTAGCAGCATTGATATTGATATATCACTAAAGCTGAATTGCTACAAGTGTACAACTCCTGTATTCCTGAAGGAGCAACTAGCCAAATACACACTTTCTGGATAGCACACTTCTGCAAAACACTAGCAGTTAATGGCTTTCTAAATCTTACAGGAAACCTAGAGCTTTTCACAAGCATTGTGACAATCTACTTAAACCTCTTTATATAGAGAAACACGGTTATAATCAATGTTGTAGCAGTCAAGGTATATTGTCCTCTTGAAAACTAAATATGGAATTGAATGTAACCACTTTTTTTTTTGGTCTGAAAAATGACCTCTGAGAACTGCCACTTCACTGTTGGTAGGTTAACAATGCAATTCACAACTCAGTACATCAGGATCGCTAATTATTTCAATATCCTTATGCCAGACACGTTCGAGTGATGTGCTCACAGGCTCACAATTCCAAACTGCATTCCTGTCTACTGAAAGCCATGATATTTATTTAACACCATCAGTGGAGAATCAATACATTGCAAAATAAAGTCAGGAGTACATTTCTAACAAATATAAAACCTCAGTGGGGGAAACAAAACCGCACTGGGACTAATTTGGCCATATTAATTCATACACTTACATATGCAATCACTTTACAAAAATGCTGTGCCTGCCCTAGCATTGCAAGAGTTTACATCAAGTACGACTTTACTAACATAGAAGCTAAGGTGACTAGTACCTCGAAAGCAGGAAAGGATGTCAGACAGAGAAACCTATGCAGACATTGTATCTCAAAGGGATGGACACTACTGGGTAAGCAACCGCTCGTTTGTACAAGAGATCAGCATTGCCAGTGCTCAGAATCAAACACTGATCTCACGCACAAGAAATGTATAGCACGAGAAGATAGATACTGCTAATCTCATACTGATCTTTTTCTTCTACAAACTGAGCATTAGGCTTATGAATGGACTTATTCAAACTCATTCTCCATACACCAAGTAATTAGCCGCTGGTGCTGCTGAAAGATCAAAATTATCACTACTCTTACCTGAATGCTCTGAGGTGTTCTGTATACGTTAGGTAAATCAATATGCACAAGTATGTTGATAGTAGAGTGAAATTAAGTCCTGTGGACCTAACACCACAATTGCTGAAACTGGAACAACCATCCTATGTTTTAAATTTTTAATCTTGAATGCTTATCTAATGCAAGACTGACATGTGAACCTGTCCCCATCCACATGAAGTATACCATCCCCTACAATAACACACAAATCATTGTGAAAAGGTGAATGGCTACTGCAGGTACTCCACCAGCTCTGGGCGGCCCTGAATTCCAGCCTCCAGGTGAGTGGAAGAGTAACATCCCTTTCCAGTGACATGACTTTAGGAATATGGTAGTCTGTAACTATTATTTGCTGTTTGGCTGTTATGAACAATATTCACAACCGAATCTTTTTGTTGGTTTTGTTTTCTTAATTTTATTTTTTTTCACACTGAGGTTTCATAGAGGAGAGAACTGTACTGTTTAGGACAGACTGTGGATGTGTGTGGATGGGGAGCTGGAGGAAAGAATGACAATACCTGACAGGATGCATATGGACCAACACCGCACACTGCTGCGGCAAAAAGATGTGTTCCAAGCTGATAAAACACTAAGGGTCCCTTTAAAAACCTTATGATTTCTGCATTCCCCATCAGACCAGCCAGATACTCAATAATGGGAGAGAAACAAGCAAGTGAAGGATGATTCCCCTAATGTGCATAACTGGTGGGAGTGTTTCCATCCTTAAGTGTTTCCATCTCAGCTAAAAATTTCATTAATGGTTGTCATTACTAAGATTCTAAGCACTAAGAGCTCGGCCTCAGTAACCACTGCTAAATCACTTACTATTGAAAATAGCTCCGGCTCCAGGAAAGCCAGTGCCAAAGGCAACACCACGGCTGGCCATGGCACCACAGGAACCACAGTGCCCAGCTTGATACTGGGGGTAGGAGAGTGGTGCAGACTGAGACAGGCTGAAAGGCAGACAGATCTTTTGGAGTCCTGCATCTTTCTGGGGACTGTGTTTTTCCAGTTACCACAAGGTGTGAACTGGATTGGAGATCACCATTTGTCTAAGGAATCTAAAGAGATCGATTATCTTAGGTCCTTGGGAGGATACACTCTTCTCTGCCACTTTCAGAAAGAGGACCTGCCTGCTTATTTTGCCCCTGGGATTTCCTGTTCTTTACAAAGAATTTGAAACAGTTTGTAATTGCTAATATCCTGCCAGTGCTGTTTTACTGTTTTGCTATTTATAGTAGTATCATGAACCTTATTGTTCCTACTTGTAACATGACTTCCAATACTGTGATAGACAGGATCACTGTATTACAAATTAATCTATTTAGAACATAAAATATTGCAGGAATCATTCTGAAGACAGAGGGCATTCATCTTATACTCTACCCACACTCTAATATCTTTCATAGATGTTTTGCTTATTAACACTTATTAAAATCTTATTGGAATGCAACATTAATTGTACTTGGCCTTCCCACGTAAAGCATTAAAATAATCTACTGCTGGTGGCACAGAAGCCTTTCCCTCAGAACACAGAATCATGATGTTCAATTACTTAAGACATCTGTTTAAATGTACACTCCTTTGAGGGGTTGTGAAACATAGATCAGGAGACGAATTTTAATAAAACTCCAAATTAAAAAAGGAGAAAATGTAATGGCTTATTACAATATTTCCTATTATAGGTAACAAAACTGTATGTGACTATAAATTTGCTATTCAGCTAATATAGACTAGAAACTTTTTCTAGTTTAAAGATTTCAGCGTGTCAAAACTTAACATGTTAGGACCCAAAACATGCATATGCTTTCAGTATTTAAGTTCCCACTTTTCACAGCTGAGGTCTTAATGAAAGCCCCTCATCGTGTTATATTTGGGCATGGAAACCTTCATATATACCTATTACTGAATGCCGCATGAGACAAATTTCATGTATTAGGAAACAGAACACAAGCATACAGAAGAAAGCGTGTTACCTGGACACGATGGGCAACACTGCCCTGGATGTATGGTGGGGTTGCCGCAATTAGGAACGGGGCAGGTGATCAGGGCACACATTTCGCGTCCATTGTGACAGTAACACTCCCTGCAGCCGTCGTGCCAGCTCTCCTCGTTTTCATGTCGGCGCCCATCCATTGACAGGCAAGAGCCCGTTTTAACGGGAGGCATAAGAGAAGCAGTTGCCTCTGTACAAAATCAAAAGAAAATGAAGTGTCCTGATAAGCATGTGTTGCTTCGGAAAAAACCCACACCAACTTCATGCCTGGATTGCATTTATTTTTAAAGCATGTATAAAAATCAAGTGATTAATAATTCTATCATTTACGCTTAGAAATAAAGTAACAACACATATGAAACAATTGAAAGGTATACTGAAGGGGATGGTAGGATGTAGTAGAATGTATTTCCTTGGAAAACATCGCAACTTCTTTCTGTTGCACTTATGCCATTTTTAATCACACAGAAATGCAGTATTGGCTAAATAATAGAAGAAAAAAGACAAATGCAATGGAGGGAAATAGCAGAAAGCACACAGCATATTTGAAAAGAAATATTTAAATATTACAGTGTGTTAGATTATAATATGATTATCTGATAGCAAGTAGAATATAACAGCATTTACAAGAGCTAAGGATGGTCTTATATTATGAATGACAGAAAATTACAAGCAAGTTCTAATGAAGTCATGCTAGATACTGGAAATATTTCGTGAAACACCTACGAGAAATTGTTTACATTACTGTGATAAAGGAGATGTTTGGAAAAGAACTGGTCTGACAATTTTATCCCTCATTCCTAGCTTTTACTGAGATGCGAATACAGTAGCTTGGACTGCTGCATTACTTGCACTCAGTCAGAACACGCAAGCAGTTGGTCTAGGGAGGATAAAGTCTCATTTGTATCTTAAGGGGTATTTTAGTGCTGCAGGATTCAGCCTCAATATATTCTTTGTTAATCAGCAGAGTGAATTCAGAGCCCAACACTCCCTCACCTGCATGATTATGATGACGAAGGATTTGGGATTGGTTTGTCAGTGAACTGACTGGTATTCAGTGGTATGTTAATCAGGTTTTACTAATGTTTACATATATATAAGGTTATCTGTATAACGTTGCTTATTTAATATTCTGTTTAAAAAAGGATGCAGTATGAAAAGTAATGTTTATATGTAAGATTAGTAAAGATTTTTCTTTTTGTTTTTCCTAACACGTAGGTCAGCACTTCTTCAGCTAAGGCAGATCCGTCAGAGGTGGGCTAAGAACCACAAGCAGCCGGTGCAAAGTTAGTTTGATGCATCTTGTCAGAGTAAGAACCCAATACATAGGAATTACATGAGCAAACCATTTTGTGAATTAAAAAGGATAAAATACTTCTTAAAACAGACTTCATTCTATTGCATGAACAGAAATACTATGAAAAATTTTACATTCAGTTACTACTTATACTTTACTATCAGATTATACACTAATTCCTATTTGAATTAACATCACTGGAATATTGTCCTATATTAAAACGATTATTGGCACACAAAAGTCTAAGATGGTAATTCCCTTCCCCTTTCTTAATAAATAAAGCATCTGATGTAATCAAACTTTTTTTCCTGAAATATTTGAAAGTATATTCCAAAATTTGGAGAAACAAACCAAGCACACAGGCAACTAAAATTAGTACAAAACGTAATACTTAAAGAAGAAAACAAACACCCAAATATAAAATGGGAATAACTGGATAAGTAGAGATATGGTTGAAATGATCTGGGATTATAGTAGCTCACAAATAAAAATGAGTCAGTAATGTGATACGGCTGCAGAGAAGGCAATTTCAATCTAAGATACAAGTGCAGAGCACTGTAAATTTAAATGCAGTACTACTATCTCTACCAGTTTGAAGTTTCTGCTACTGCTAAAGTACAATACCCAGGTTTTGAACTGTGATGAGAGACCAAAATAACTGGGTTTATTTGACTTAGGAAAAAACCCCACAGAAAACATTTAGGGGGCTCCAGTTGCAACCCCTTAAATATTGCAAGAATTCTAAAGGGATTGGTACTTAGCTGTTCCATATGTCTGCTGAGCTTAGCACAAGAAGTAACTGGTTCAATTTGTAGAAAGGGAGATGGAAGTATTAGAAAATTTATTTTAAAATGCCACATATTGGTAACCACAGGAAAACATTATTTTAGAGAAGGTGGTTTTTTTGTTTGTTTGTTTGTTTTCCTTTTGAGTGGAGATTCTTAATAAATTGAATCTTAGACAAACATCTGTCAAGGATTGTCCTGATACACTCTATTTTATGCGAGGGCAGAGAAATGGACTCTCAGTTTTCCAGAGGACTACCCTAGCCCTGTACTTCGATGGTTCTATTCTATTAATCCTAGCATAAGCTATTTTGGGCAGAAGCAATTTAGAAAGTGGAGCTAATTCACAGGCAGAGGATGTAATTGATGACCCATCAATTTTTTTGGGTCAAAATTTTAAGAAGGACGCACAGCTACTCCAGAACATACTGGTGATTGCTCTAATTGTTCTTAGGCAAGTTGCTAATGAAGTGATGTTGAAGTAGTACGCACATGGCTTGGTATGTTTATGATCATGGTAACAATAAACACTACTGTACTGGGTTTGCGTGGCCAGGTTTTGGGAGTGCAGGGCTTCTGTGAGAAGCTGCCAGAAGCTTCCCCTGTATCTGACAGAGCCAATGCCAGCCAGCTCCAAGATGGACCCACCACTGGCGAAAGTTAAGCCCATTTGCGACAGTGGTAGCACCTCTGGGATAACATTGTTAAGAAGGGGAAAAAGAAACCATTAGCAGTAATTGCAGCTGGAGAGAGGAGAGAGTATATGTGAAAGGAACAGCTCTGCAGACACCCAGGTCAGTGCAGAAGGAGGGGCAGGAGGTGCTCCAGGCACCAGAGCAGAGATCCCCCTGCAGAAGACCATGGTGAGGCAGGCTGTCCCCCTGCAGCGCAGTGAGGAAGTAGGAGGGGGTGTGGAGATTCCACCTGCAGCCCCTGGAGGACCCCACGCCGGAGCAGGTGGAGACACCCGAAGGAGGCTGTGACCCTGTGGGAAACCCACACTGGAGCAGCCTTCTGGCAGGACCTGTGGCCCCATGGAGAGAGGAGCCCAGGCTGGAGCAGGTTTGCTGGCAGGACTTGTGACCCCATGGGGGACCCACGCTGGAGCAGCCTGCTCCTGAAGGACTGCACCCCGTGGAAGGGACCCACGCTGGAGCAGTTGGTGAAGAACTGCAGCCTGTGGGAAGGACTCATGTTGGAGCAGTTGGTGGAGGACTGTCTCCCGTGGGAGGGACCCCAGGCTGGAGCAGAGGAAGAGTGTGAGGAGTCCTCCCCCTGAGGAGGAAGGACCAGAAGAGACAATGCGTGATGAACTGACCACAACCCCCATTCTCCGGCCCCCTGTGCCGCTGGGGGGGAGGAGGTAGAGAAATCAGGAGTGAAGTTGAGCCCAGAAAGAAGGGAGGAGTGGGGGGAAAGGTTTTTTAAGATTTGGTTTTATTTCTCATTAATTCTCTTGAGTCTGTTTTGCCTGTGATGGTAATTGCCTTTATCTCAACCCATGAGCCTTCCGTTATATTTACTCTCCCCTGTCCAGCCAAGGAGGGAAGTGACAGAGCGGCTTTGGGGGGCACCTGGCCTCCAGCCAGGGTCAATCCATCACAACTACTTAAGAGAGGGATCATGTTATTTTTGCTAAAAAATTGTGCATGTTTTAAAATCCATTCTAGTTAAGGAAAGCACTTAAAAAGTGTGCATACACACAATTAGTATCTGAAGAGTTGCATCTGTTTATAGTCTGGGATGCAATTATGGCATACCTAAGAGAACATCTTGTGTATATTCCATCACAGCATCACAACAATCAGGAAAAGTGTGTTGATTGCAAACATGGAGACAAATGACAAGACAAGTGATGAGAATTGTCTCGTTGAGATTCCATTCAGCAGTTACTCTATTTAATTTTTAAATTTTTTATATAGTCATATATTGCAGCTTACATCAGTGAAATCTCTATTTCTCGTATCTGCAATGTACATTTATAACATTTCTATTTTTTTTTGCTAGAAGTCTTAAATTTTTGTTGTAATTGTCTGCAAGTGTATGATGTCCTGTGGAGAAAATATGACGTCAGATCCTTCTGATTTATATGACTGCACGTTTGCCTTCAACTACAGGCGAGTGACTTCAGCCACTCATACACTTTCTTCCAGTCCCATGTTCCCATAGCTTGCCCTATTATGTTTTAGCATTTTTTTAAAATGCAAAAGAAATAGCAATGAAAAAAGTTAAGAATGAAGTCATTACACAAAGCAATGGGAAAATACTCAAACTTACTTGCCTATAGCTAGAAATCAAAACAGACAAGTAAGAATCAGAGAAAATAAGCATGAAAGGGCAGTTAGGATCTGAGAGAGCCTGAGCACAAACGAAAAGTTATTAAATGCAACACATGGAGATGAGCAATGAAGGAGGTCTGATATTGAGACTAATATAAAACACAAACTGAAAATACCTTAAAAAAGAGACATGTGAAAAGCATCACAAAACTAAAGCAGACAACTAATGAACATGTTATCTCAATCTCCACCTCGAACGAACTTGGTGGTTGTAAGTTTGGGATGTGGCACATGTGAAATCTTTAGTTTAAGAATACCCAGTCCCTTCTCCCGGGTAAGCACTCTCTCTACATACTGTTCCTCAAGATCGCCTGAAAAGTGTCCAAGAAACAGCATTCTAATTTTAGGTGGTGTACAGGGCATCTATCAATTCCAAAACTTGAGTTTGTAAAGAAAAGGTGATGGTGAAGAAGGTAAGATGAACACTGCTACTGAAAAAAACCCCCTCAACTAGTTTACTTCTAGTAGTTACTTATTAAGAGCCTGATCTAATTTTATTAATGATAACTAACTGATTTTTGTGACTTTGTAATGGGACATGAAAGTGGAGCAGAGGCTTTCTGTTGAAGCCAAGATGAGCACAGATAATAACAAACACCTGCAAAACAATACACTCCTTTGAGCAAAGTTGAACCTACTCTCTCACTAGATACCACATTCCAATTCTTACATATTCTGTGGAGTATTCCTTTTTTTTTTGCTCTAGCTTCCAACTGCTTTCAAAACAAGTTGTAATTAGAGGTGGTAATGCGCTCGTACCTACCTCTGCACTTGCAGATAACACAGCCGTGACTGTTCTGCTGGAAGCCCATCGGACAGATTTTACCACAAGGAAGGTTCGGGCATTTCTTACACCGACAGATTTCACAGCCATGCTTGTTCTTCCTAGATGACCAAAAGAATTTGTAAAAGGTCAGCAGGTCACTTTGAACATCCACGTGTCATGATCTTTAAAGCAAAAGCATCTCCTAAAGAAGTGACTGATCAAGTAAAGAAAATTATCGTTAACTGTCACCCTTAGGTTCAGTGGGTCTATGGGTTGTACAGGTCTCCACCCATGGCGTATGCTTCCTCCGCACGACTGGCAAAATCTCTGCATTTGGCACTTTCAAGCCATAGCAGATAATGGAGATGTATGTGCTTGTGACTACTATTGATGATCAATTCTTTTTTCAAGTGAAAAATCAGAAAGAATAACTTCCAAAACTGTGAAGAAGTTGGAGGGCTAGATAGGAATCTGTTATAATTACTATGTTTTTATAACACAAATTACTGTCAACTTTTTTCCTCCAACAATAGGTAAAGTACAGTAGATTTCCTCTCTTGCATATTAAAACCACAGAGATATTTCTGAAAAAGTTAAATAAGCAGACACAAAGCTTACTTGAAAATTAGCACATGGAATGCCAATAACCCATATAAAAAGTAGCAGACAGACAGTAACATTCAGTTCATTTAGTGCAATTATTTGTATATTTTATAGATAGTGACAAGATTAGGGTACTCATTTCCAATGTTTGTGGGTTTGGTTTTTTTTTTAATTACAATCATCTTAAGACTTATTAAACACTCATCATTTAAAAATACCAGCCAAGCATTATGCATAATTAAATTACATTCTACATTTAAAAGCTGAAATTAAATTGAAAGTATTTTCCAATAAGCTTAAAAAAGTTCAGTTTTTTTCAGGAGTACAAAAATGCAAAGGAAAGATTCCTCAAACACTAGCATCAGCTTGGAATCAACTTGTTTTTAACACATCTTTATCTTACCGCCAGCTACCATACTATGTCCATTAATATTTGCTGTAATTTCTAAAACAATTTTGCTACATAGTTCACATAGATTTTCTAATAAAACTGATTTATACACACTTTAGTTAAAAAAAATAAAGGAGAAAGAGAAGAGTGTGTTTCAGCTTATCTAAGTACAGAAAGCACATACAGAAATAGGTCGTTTTCCTCTGTAGGTCAATATATTAAATGATTCATACATACAGGCTAAAAATTACTGCTCTTAACAAGCAGTGCGATTCTGTGAGAGGCTGAACATTAGATTTTTTTATAATGCCTTCTATTTGAAGCCAAGCTGCGTGGTCCAGTGCTAGCCCATGGAGCATTCCTGACCTGTGTGTTGTTTCCACTGACCTCCCAGAACTCCTCTGAACGGGGTACGGTACGGTAGCACGCCTCGGACTGGGGACTGCCTGGGCAAGTCATTAAATGGTCCACATCTGATACTCGGAGTCAACGTCTGATCAAGGTATCATCATAAACCTTACTATTTTTCTAATTTTTTCCTACTCTTATGTGACAGTACACACAGTTTCTTAGACAGTGGCTGATTCCTCCATGAATTTAGAAAATCACTTGAATTTGTACTCTTGAACAGATTATCCTTAACACATGATCGACACTGAAAAATACTTGCACCTAGGACTAAGCATCTCCATGTTTAAAGTGCTCTTGCAGCTCCTGGACAACACTCATAGGACTTTTCCTATCCTTCTCAGAAACTGAGACATCAGTTCTTTATTACAGGAAAGCATTCAAGGAAAATGAATGACTTGATTGATTTCTTTATATATAAAAGTTAGGTCCATCTTTTTTTCTTTTCAGTCCTCTGATTTTCATTCAGAAGACTGAACCATTTCTGGGTAGACAGACAGCATTAATGCAAGCTCCAGGTATGTCCACATTGAAGAAGACTGCATGGACACCTTCAGATTTCCCCATACAATCAGCTAGATTATTATCAACACATACCACAAATTTCTTAACAATCATCACCTTAACTGCTTAGGCAGATATCAGCAGGATGATACTCAGAGATTACACAAACTAAGGGACTCTGTAGGTCAAGAGGATTGCATTCAAACACAGAAAATCAGTTTATTAAGGTGCAAAGTATATTAGGCTCTATTCTTGGATTCTTATCTTTCCCTGAAAATGTAAAAGTTGAGTATGCAAAGGCATCACCCTATATGATGTGAAAAGGCTAAATGCAGGACACACTAGAGAACAGCCTGAACGTACAGAAGGTAGACTTCTATGGCACGTATCAAAAAGCAATGCTATGAGGACTTCAATGGCTGAACATCTGCACCTGCATTTTCAGATCAGATTTAATTTATGTGCTTTAAAGTGAAGCAGAACTCTATATTCTATTCCCTTACTCTTAATGGAGGGAAATAAAATAAAATTTCAGTTTCCAAATGGGGTAGTAATACTCATTTTTAGAGATTTCTCCTTTAAGGCCTTTTAAAATAATGCAGGCACATCTCACCTGAAGTGCAACAAGAGAAGGCCAATAGAATTATTTCAGATTTGTTGTTGTTGTTGTTCAAAAAGGTATTCTTCATGATATATTATATTGGTGTGTCAGAGTATAACCCTTAACATCACAGGTCAAATTCTTGGCAATCTGAGGGTCATCTTCCAATTACACATAAGGATCTTCCTCATCTTTGTTTAGAACTTTCTTTAGAAAACCAGTTAAGTCACAGTTCGTGAGAGAGAGACCACGAAAGTCAGACCTCTCGAACCAAGTAACAAGTTTCTGAATTAATCAAAGTTCATTAATTCATTAATTAATTCAGTTCACATGGAACAGCCTACTTCAATGCAAAGCTAACAGTACTAAAAAGTGGCATAGAAGATAACAGTAAAAAGAAACCTTTCCTTAAAAAAGTAAAAATCAGAAGTTGCAGAGTAAGAATACGTGTAAGCAGAAGTAAGGGGCGCATCTTTACTGAAAGCTAAAGAAGAAAACAGGATCAAATAAAATACTATTCTTTGTAGCAGTTACACATGGTCTGCTCCCTAATGAGGTAGACTTAAATCAAGTCTGTTACTGTCAGTCACACACACTGGGAGCACAGGCCCAGGAATGGAAATTTATCATCTTAACTTAAAAGAGTATTTGTTTTTTCCTGAAGATTCAGAATTTTGAAGGTAAAAAAATATTCAGTTCACCACAAGTTATTTAAGGTCTCTACTATGTGCCATTTAAAGTTGTAAAAATACTATCCACTTTCCTCTAAACAAAAATTACAGTTCATATAACAAAACTAGACAAAGATGCTCATTATGTGGAAGAGAGTATTTCTTCCTAAATCCATGTTGTTGGGAAAGGCATTGTACAATAAACTAAAAGAACGTAACAGTAAACTTAACACATTTACACAAACAAACCACATTAATAGTAAATAACTTTGCTAAGTATAGTTCAAAACAATCCTTATCAGCAACGGAAAAGCATTTTTAACACTTCAGTGTGACATTTACATTGGGACTGCCAGTGAAGAAAATCAGTAGTAGTAAACTGGAAGAAACCAAAACGAAAAAAAAAAAACACAACTTGACTCCTTTAGATACCGCAGAAAAGTCAAAGAACAGAGCTAGCTGGAATGGAAATAAACACCTAGACCTTGGTTCATGAATATATTCAAGCTATTTCTGTATAAGTCCAAAGAGGCAATGACAAAAGACATCAAATAGACCTTACTTAATAGTTTTCTCATATTATAGCTTTTGAATAGGCTAAAGCAAATGGCCTTGAAAATAATAATTTATTTATGCACTTGTAATATTAAAATTAAAAAACCTTTTCAAGCTGAACGATATTCAGTCACACTGACTAAACAGTTCAAAATTTTGTAATTCATACCACCTGTCTCTGTTGTTATGCAAACACACGCATGCACACACTCCTTGCAAAAGTCTTCTCCGATTCTGTCCTGAGAGCTTTAAGTTACTGACCCTACTACACACAATGAATTAAGAGCTACAATATGGAAAAACTATAAATACCAAGATCTAACAGCCATAGTGTGCCCTTTAAATATCACATTAGATTAATCTGCTGAGTTTATAAACCAATTTGAAAAATAACCACTGAGTATTGCTAACGAAATTAGTTTTTAAATCACAAATATAAAACAGAAATAAAAAGAAATGTTCAGATGTACAGTCTGGAGTCTGCTGAGCTCACATCCTGTGCTTGCTACTGAAGATGCTTTATGTATCATGGACAAAAAAGATAGCTTCCATCTTTGTTGCATATAGCAGTGAAATATATTCTGATGGCCATTATTCAGAATTCTTCTCTCTTCTGTGCCAAAGTTCCAAATCAAATATAAGCTAGTGCAAATGATTCAGTGCCCCTTGAGAAACGGTTGCACCATGTGAGTACTATATGGCAGTTTCCAGTAAATGCTTCACTATAGCTGTAAGTTGTATTCCTTTCTTGCTGCTCTTGTCCCA